TACACGACGATATAAAAAGACAAACAAAAGTAGAAGAAACGAAACCTGCAAGCGAAAAGCCAGATAAACCATGGGAACAGACACGAACAGGACTTGCCAGGTAACAACCGCAAGAACTCCAAGACTACAAGCTGCGCTTGTGGTCGCAGCTACCACAAAGACAAAGCTGAATGGAACATCGAGATCCACGATGCTCAAATCGGATGAGATCTGAAAATCTCCACATGAACACAATCAATGAAACCGGAAAACTGTCGAAACATATATACACACACAAATATACATACACAGTACACTTACCCTGCTTAGAATGCGTCCAAGAGGTGTGGAATCGTAGAAAGACATGGGAGCTCTGAAAAGAGAGTTCAGAAGCTGCGAGAAAAATGAAGAAGAAGACCTCATGTTCATGAGCACAACACAGAGTGATCTTCCCATCAAGAACAGGACCGAGACGAAACCGATAGCCAAATACACCAAAATCAGCCTCAAAATGCTAACTCCGGGATTGTCAACGTTCGCAGCCAGCCATGTGTTCTGCAGAATCTGTCCGAGAGCGAACACCAGCTGAGACAGAGAAGCGATGAAGAAGAAGACGTAGCCTTTGTTCTGGTTCAGGTACTGAATGTACGGTTTGAAACCAGTGTCTCCCTTCTCGCGCTCTTCCTGCTTGATCAAACGGCTGTGTTTCGAGGCTTTGGAGGACTGAGTAACGTGCGGAGAGACAACACTGTTGATCTCTTTCCTCTGATTAAATGACCGCGTTTTGGTAACGTTGACCGCAGCGACTCTGTCGGAACCTGCAGTCTCTCTGTGAGCGTTGACCAGTTCTTGAAAGTCTTTGCTGCTTGATAGTAGTTCTTGGTACGCAGCTGCTTTGATAATCTCTCCTTCGGACATTAGCTACATAACCAATAATAATCAGAAATTGGAAAATAAAATGATTTAATATCGAAATATAAATTAAAAAACACGTGTATAATTAAAAAGAAATATAAGTCGATGAAGATATAAATTTACCAAGACAGAATCAAAGGCGGGAAGAAAGTCAACTTGGTGAGTGACCAATAACACAGCTTTCCTCGCAAGTGCTCCCATGACGTATTCCTGAAATCACGATTGCATGGAGAAAACTTAAACACCAAAAACAATCATAAGAACCGAAAATCATAATAGCAATCTTACGTTGAATAAACTTGTAGCAGTATGAGCGTCAACGGCGCTGAAGGGATCATCGAGGAGATAGATGTCGGCGTTCTGATAAAGCGCACGTGCGAGTTGAACCCTCTGTTTCTGACCGCCACTTAGATTCACTCCTCTTTCACCGATCTCTGTCTGGTCTCCGTCCGGGAACAGCTCCAGATCTTTCTCCAGACACGATTTCTGCACCGTCTCTCTGTAACGTTGTTCATCCATTTCTTGTCCGAACAAAATGTTCTCCTGTATCGTTCCCGTTTGAATCCACGCGGTTTGCGAAACGTACGCGATCTTGCCATAGACGTTGATCTGTTCAAGATCCAAACCCAATACCAGAACGAGATCAAACCCTTCGCATTATGATCACAAACATTATCAAACCTTTTCGTGAAACCGAGTTTTCTCTCTTTCAGAAAACTTACCGTTCCCTGGACGCATGGAGTTTCGCCCAGAATAGCAGCAAGAAGAGTTGATTTTCCAGAGCCAACTTCACCGCAAATCGCCACTTTCTCTCCAAACTTGACATCCAGACTCGCATTTCTCACGTTCGGCTTCGATGAACTCTTCTCATCCCAAGAAAAACTCGCTGATTTGACCACAATTGCCTTATCTCCTCCTTCGGACCTGTGCTTTCTCCGCCTTTTGCCTCCTTTGAGCTCAGGAGCTTCCAAAAACGTAGTAATACGGCTG